CGACCTGCTGCGCGCTCCGGACGCACAGGGCCCACGCGCTAGCGCCGGCGGCCCCGCCCCGCTGTGGGAGCGCGCCGCGCGTTGCAGGACGCGCCGCCGACGCCAGAGGAGGAACAGGCGCGGCGCGTGGCTGCCGAGCGAGCGGCTGCGGACGCCACGACGCCGCGCGACGGCTCCGGCCGCCGAGGCGGACATCGGCGCATCTGACGGAGGCGCGGCCGACCAGTGCACCGGAGCCCAGGGGGGCCCAGCCGCAGAGCCCGCCCAGGCACCGCCAGGGCCCGCCGGCCATCCACCTGCGCCTGCGAGTCCTGCCCCTGCTCCGCTGCAGCCCCATGGCTCTGGGGCCGGCAGCGTTGCCGGTTCAGAGGTCTCGGGTCATGCTCTCGGCCCTGGCGATCTGGCCTCCGAGGTCTCTGGCACTCTCCGTGCGGTTTCGCGGACGACATCGGCAGGGATGGCACGTCACGAGCCGTATCCCAACACAGCCCCTGGCAAGGGTGGGAAGTCTGGCGGAAAGGGAAAGTTTTAGCTCGCCGTTTCCACCTTCGCACTCCAACGTATGAGTCTCTGCATCTTGGCTTGGTGGAGCTGTTGCCGACGACATGTTTGCTATTCTTTGTCTATGCAGGTTGAACTTCGCGGAGAACATCGCGACACCTCTTGCGAGTTCTTGGCCATCTTCTGATATCGTCCTTCCATATATCCCAGACGTTTGCACTCTCGGACTCCGACGTGGAGCTTTACCGCGGCAAGCTCGCCCAGCGCTCCCGGCATCGACCTGGCGCTGCCCCTTCCGAGCCCAATGTAGCATCGAGGCAAGCCTGGCCAACCTCTCTTGCTTGTCCGTGGCTGGGCAGCCTCCAGTCTTCGTCGCTAAATGCGCTCGTGAATCTCTGGTGCTCCATTACAGAGGTTGTGCAGTTGGCGCTGCGAACGCTCACTCGCGTTGGAGCGCCTCCGCGGGAGAGCCGCGGGCCCCCTGGCTGCCCGCCTGGGCGCGACGGCTGCTGCCCGACGCGCGCGCGCGCGCGCCGGCCGCCAGCCGACCGCGGAGGAACTTGGACGGCTCGCTGCGCGGCGCGCGCTCGCAGGAAAACATAGACGTGCGTGTGCGCGTGCTGCGTGTGCGCGTGCCACTGCGTGCCCGCGGGCGTGTGTGTGTGTGCGCGGCCGTGCGCCCGCATGCGCGCATCCACTGCGAGAGCGCGCGCCGAGCGCGCGCTGGGCGGGCGGGACGTGGGGGGAGCGGCATGCGTTCGCGTAGCCTTCTTGGGGTCAGCTGAGGGAGGCTGTATGCATTATCGTAGCCACCGCAATTCTCAGGGTGAGCCGAGTCTTGACCGGAAGCTCCGCTACCACTTGAGATTTGTCATATATTTGGTTCAGTGCGATACAAATCTTAAGCGTTGAATTTCCAAATAATGGCCTTTGGCTTACCACCCTCGAACAAACATGTGGGAATTGGACAACCTGTGGGCGCTTGTACATCTTAGCTGACTCTTGGTTGCCAGAGCAATGAGACGTGCAAAGAATGATAACCGTACGCGTCGGTCGGAAGAAGAAGGTAAGAATATGCAGTAGGAAGGCGGATAAAGTAGGTTGGGTTCAGGCCCTCCCAGACAGTAACAAAACGCAGCCGAAGCACCCCGATTCTTGAAGTAGGAAGGCGCTTGGAATACATTGGGATCTGGGAGTCCAGAAATGCATACTTTCAACGACCAGCGTGTATGTGCTTGAGCGCGCTCTCAACAGCAAATGACGCGAATGTCGAACGGAATCCGGTGGAGCGCCCTTGGGCACAGATTGGAGCACCCACAGGTGATTCCCCCATCCAACCAAGCCCTCATCCTGACTCGAGGGGGGTCCATGAGGAGCCTGGAGATCTCACTGGGCCTGTCATGTCTTATCATGGTTTCCGGCGCGACGTGTTCGAACTCAAGGGGGCCCTGAAACGGGCCACGAGGGCCCCAAGAGGCCCCCCCTAGACGGTCCAAGAGGGCTCCGAGATGCCCACAGAACGATCTCAAACGCACAATATGGATCCCAGACGGCCCATGAGGTTGCCCAAGCACTCTCGAGAAGGCTCCGAGAGGCTCAAATCACTGACTCGCTTGGGTTTTGCCTGTGCTTGGCCTTCTCCTCTGTTCTTCGGCTCTCCGACTCTCCCCGACGGCCCATGATGCCCCAAAGATCGTCCCCAGACGACCCGAGAGACCACCAGGAGGCGCCCAAGACTGTCCCAGAGGGCTCCAAAACGACCCAACAGGCGCGCAAGGTGGCCCCACGAGGTGGAATGCGGGAGCGTGAAAACGAGTCCAACCCGTCCGCTTCACTTCAAGAGGCCCGCAAGAGGCTCCCAAGAGTCCCCAAGAGGCCCCCAACAGGCCGCCCCCAGAGGCCCCCAGAGGCACGCAAGCAGAAAGGCCCAAAAGAGTCCCCGAAGATGCCCGCGAACGCCGTCAAACCTGCCTCCAAGAGTGGCCCTGGAGGCTCCGCGCGAGATCACAGTGAAAATCTAAGAGGCCTCATGCCCACAACCCAGGCGCGGTGGCGGGACGGGCCACAGGCCACAGGCTACTAGCTTTCGCAGGGGCGGGGTCTGCCCGCGAGCGACTCCCGATGCAGAAATCGAGGAGAAACATGAGAGGATCGAATGTCGACGGAGCAGCCGCCAAACACCTTGGAACATCGGCAATGAAGATGGCGACGACCGGGGGCATCGGAATGCGCATGCCTCGGGGATGGACAGACCTCCCTTTAGTAAAACGGGGTTTAGTGAAAACGACCTCGGACCCAAACCTGGCAAGCGCAAGCCTGGAAAATAACGGCCACGGCGCCCTCTCGAGAACCGAAACGGACAATTCACTAATCGACGTGTCACTGTTGGGGGTTCTGTCCACCCCCGAATGCCTGACCGAAATCGAAATCCCTTCACAATCGGTCTCCGGACCCCTCCTGGGGTCCATCCGACGCAGCGCCCCTGAGCCGTTTTCGGCGGCCCCGGGGTCCGGAAACGCTCACTGGAGAGGCCGAAACGGATGTTACGCCGAATCCAATCCAGGGCCACCTCAGCCCCCCAGCCGGCTCCAACTGTTACCTTCGGCGGCAGCCCTCCTCCTCCTCCTCCTCCTCCTCCTCCTCCTCCTCCTCCTCCTCCTCCTCCTCCTCCTCCTCCTCCTCCTCCCCCTCCTCCTCCATCCTCCTTCCACCCTCCTTCCCCTCATCCCTCTTCCTCCCCTCCTCCTCCTCCTCCTCCTCCTCCTCCTCCTCCTCCTCCTCCTCCTTTTCCTCCTCCTCTCCTCCTCCTCCTTCCTCCACGCTATATACTCTCTCCTCCTCCTCCTCCTCCTCCTCCTCCTCCTCCTCCTCCTCCTCCTCCCTCCTCTCCCTCCTCCTGCTCCTCCTCCTCCTCATCCTCTCCTCCTCCCTCCTCCTCCTCCTCCTCCTCCTCCTCCCTCCTCCTCCTTCACCCTCCTCATCCTCCTTCTCCTCCTCCTCCTCCTCCTCCTCCTCCTCCTCTCATCATCATCATCATCATCAGCATCATCATCATCATCACCACCACCACCACCACATCATCACCACCACCACCACCACCACCACCACCACCACCACCACCACCACCATCATCAACATCATCATCATCATCCATCATCACATCATCATCATCATCATCATCATCATCATCATCATCATCATCATCATCATCATCATCATCATCATCCGCATGCTCCTCTTTGTCGTACTCCTCCTCCTCCTCCTCCTCATCCTCCTCCTCCTCATTCTCCTCCTCCTCCTCCTCTTCTTAGTCGTCGTCGTCCTCCTCCCTCTTCTCCCTCCTCCTCCTCCTCCTCCTCCTCCAAATCCTCGTCGACCGTGGTTGATTATATCGGAATGAAAATCTAGGTTCGTTATCTTCAGAAGATGCCCTATGGATTATTGTCCTGTGGATGCTTCGGGCTCAGCCCCCCCCAGCCGAGTCATTATCTTTCCAGAATAGTCAACCTAAGTCTAATATTCCAACATTATGGGCCAGGGTTCCTTTCAGTCCGGAACGTACTCTCAAACGGCGCCCCCCAGGCTCAATCATTATCATTCCAGAATAATTAAGCCGGGGTCAATATTCGGGGAACATTATGAATCTGGGCTTATCATCTCCTGGAGATAACGAACCAGGGGCAATATTCCGACATAAAAAACCGGTGGGGAACCCGGGGTCTGGGGGGAAATAATATTTTTGAGGTCGATGCCCCAAGAACATTATAAGCCAGGGCTTATAATGTTCCGGGGGGAGCATTGTGACCCCCAGTCAATATTCCCAGAGAATTGAAACCCAGGTTCATAATGTTACGGGGGCGATTATGAACCCGGGCCAATAATCCTGGAACATTATGAACCCCAGTTAATATCTACTTGGGAGCCATCCTGCCCTCCTCCCTCCTCGATCCTCCTCCTCCCTCCTCCTCCTCCTGCTTTTCCTCCTCCCTCCTCCTTCTCCTCCCTCCTCCTCCTTCACCCTCCTCATCCTCCTTCTCCTCCTCTCCTTCGTCGTCGTGGTCCTCCTCCTTCTCATCCTCGTCACCTCCTTCTCCTCCTCCTCCTCCTCCTCCTCCCTCCTCCTCCTCCTTCTCCTCCTCCTCCTCACCCTCGTCGGCCTCCTCCTCCTCCTCTTCGTCCTCCTCTTCTTCGGCGTCGTCGTCCTCCTCCTTCTCCCTCCTCCTCCTCCTCCTCCGCCTCCTCCTTCATTTCGTCGTCATCGTGGTCCTCCTCATCATCATCTTCGTCCTCCTCCTCCTCCTCCTTCTGCTCCTCCTCCTCTTCCTCCTCCACGTCTTCCTCCTCTTCCTCCTCTTCCTCATGCCGCTCCTCCGCTCCTCCCTCACCCTCTTCGTCCTCCTCCTCCTCCTCTCCCTCCTCCTCCTCCTCCTCCTCCTCCTCCTCCTCCTCCTCCTCCTCCTCCTCCTCCTCCTCCTCCTCCTCTTATACACTCGGGGCTCCGGCGGCCCACGTGCACCAGCGGTCAGGAGGCAGATGTCGATGTAGCGGGCGAGGTGCCGCGCGAGCGGGCGGCGGATGACCTCGTCGGGCGCCAGGCCCACCCCGAACCTGACACGGATCTCCGCGGCGAGGCCGACGCACTCCAGCGAATCGGCCCCCGCCTCCGCCAGGTTTTCCACCTGCGAGGAGTACTGAGGGCGGGGGGAGGAGGCGGGAGGAGGAGAAAGAGGAAGAGGAGGAGGCGGCGGCGGCAGGGTGCAGGAGGATGGGGGAGGAGACGGAGGAGAATGGGGGAGGAGGGATCGGAGGAGGAGGTGGAGCCAGATCTTCCACCTGCGCGGAGGCCGGGAGCCTGAGCGCGCTGCGCGCCAGCTCCTGCAGGGTGCGCAGCGTGTCCTCCTCGGGCTCGCCTATGCGGTCCCACGCCTCGGCGATGTGGCCCACCACGCAGCCCCGCTGCGCCGGGCTCTGGATGTAGAAGTGCCCGCCGTCGTGCATGCGCACGTCCCCGCCGCCGCGCGCCGAGCGCTGTCGCCACGCCTCGAGAGGGGGGGCGCTCGTGCTATGTGTGTGTGTGTGTTCCCACCTGGCCTCCGGGAGGAGGGTGTTCCAACGAGCTCCTCTCTGGGGCCGGGCTGGGGTGGGGCAAGGAGGGGTTGGCCCAAGATGGATTCAAGAGGGCATCCCGAGCCCCAAGATTGCTTCCAGGATGCCACAAAGTAGCCCGTCGATGTCCCAAGATAGCCTGCGCCACTTCTCCGTGCAGCTCCAGGGCGGCCCCTACATGGCGCCACCCTCCCCACCTTTTGACTATCTACCAGACCACCCCAACCCAACCCGAAGACCCGAATTTCGGGTTGGGGGGGTATGGGCTCCATGTGTGTTTTTTCGATGTTCCCGGACCCCCCCCACTAGAAATCGAGGGTAAATCTGAGCCTTCGGGTTGGGTTGGGGTGGTTTGGTGGGTGGTGACCTTTTGGCTGCAGATGGGCCTGCCTGAGAGAGCCCCAGGAGAGACCCAGGAAGAGCGCAACGGGGCAGCAGGAACGGAGGGCACCCAGAGGCAGCGCTTCGCCTTCCGGGGGGATGTATTACTCAGGGCTGAAAAAACGGCCCTACCCTGGGTTACAAGTGCGTGGTCTGTAAACCTCCTGCGAACCCCCAGAGCCTAGAGCCGCCAGGACGCGGCACATCACGCAGGGTTTACCCTGTCGGCCCACAGGAGCTTCAGCGCACAGCGCCTCGTAAACCAGGGTAGGGGCGTTTTCTATGCCCCTGATATTACCCCGCCCCCCCAGGGCCCCCAAGAACGACCCGAAACCGCCTCCGAGAGCCCCAAGAGGGCCCCCAGACCGCCCCAAAAAGAGCTCCGAGAGAGCTGCAAGGAGGCTCTGTCGGCCTCCAAGCACCCAAGGGGTCCCGAAGAATGTGCCCGAAGCTCTCCAGGAAGCGCTCGCAACAAACATATCCGCGCAGGCCTCGTCCTACTTCTCCTTCTCCCCGTGCTGCTCACCCTGCCCTCAACATCCTCGCCGAGCGAAGCGGCTCTCGTGGCATGGGCATCGGCTCTGGATGAGCTGATGGGGGCACGCGAAGGGCGAAGAAAGCAGTAATACATGTATACGCCGGTCGTTGGAAGTAGGTATTTTGGGATTCCCAGATCCCAATCTACTACAAGCGCCTTGCTACTTCAAGAATCGGCATGATTTTGCCGTGTTCTGTTGTTCTCTGGGAGGGCCTGGACCCAATCCACTTTCTCCGCCTTCCTACTTCATCATGTTTCTACAGTGCCGTTTTTAATACATGCTCCGCGTGCGGATCATGTATTAAACATGCAGGGATGTAGTATTAAAAACAACGATGAGTTCATGCATCCATTCATTCACATTAATCATGTATCAAAAGTCCCATATTTCTAGAAATCCCACGTAGGTACTGAAAACCGCCCTGCACCTACATCTTCCGACCAGCGTGTACCCTGCCTGGCTCGGTGGCCCTCTCGGCTCGACTGCCAAAAAGCAGCTCCCGAGCAGCGGTGCCCGCGCCTCGAGGCGCTCCGCCTCGATGTCCCCGTGCCCGCCGAAGACCTGGACGGGGCACGGCAGGGCCCGCGCCTCCCCCTCCCGGTACGCCTCTCGGGTCGGGCGAGAGGGGGGGATGTTGGCGGCGCGCAGAGGGGGGGGAAGGGGGAGGGGGAAAGGCTTCTTCGAAGAGGGGGCTGCTTCCTGGAAGGCGCCGGCCTTACATCTATACATGAGGCCCGCGCCTTCCAAGAGGCAGGGGTGCTGATAAGAAGCCTTCCCCCCTCACCCCGCCCCCTCTGCGCGTGGCCGAGGACAGTAAAGGGGGGTTTGAGAATCAGCTCACTAGCTGATTCTCCCGGCGCCTCCCGGCGCCGGAGGCGGCCATGCATCGAGGAACGGGCCCCTCGGTGCGGCCGAAACCGGCTGCATGCAGCAGACGTCGTAATCCCCCCTTTCCCAATCCCCCCCTTTCGCCCGCCCCGAGCCTCCAGGGCCGCGTAGTCGGCGCGGATGGCCCTCAGGAACGGGGCGGCCAGCTCGGGGTCCTCTCGACGGCACGCGGGAGTGACCCCTGGGCAGGAGCGACGCCCGGTGCGCGGCTCTCTGGGCCCCCGCGGAGGGGCCAAAAACACGAGCGCGCAGGACGCCCCTGCCGCGTTCGCGTTCGGCGGTCGGGGGGGACCCCCTTGGGGGCCCCGCACCGAGAGGGCCCACTCCTCGCGAAGGGTCCCTCTTTTGCGCCCGGCCGCTCCTCGCGCAACTCGGCCGGCAGAGCGTTGCCCTTGCCCGCGAGGTAGGCCGCCAGCCCCTCGTCCGACAGCCCGGACACGGAGGCGACGGGCCAAGTGCCGAGGCCCGCGAACTGCGGCGCCGGCGCCGCCGAGACCAGGAGCAGCGCCGGCGTGCGGCCGCTCGCGGCCAGCGCGGCGCAGAGCTCGTAGGCGCAGAGGCCGCCGAAGGAGTGCCCGAAGACGGCGAAGGGGGCGTCGAGGAGGCGGGGCTCCTGCACGAGCCACGCCGCGAGGTCCGCGGCCAGCGCGGTGAGGTCGGCGTAGGGCTCCTCGTCGACGCGGGCGCTGCGCCCGGGCAGCTCGATGGGGACCACCTCGACCTCGGCGTGCTCGAGCAGGGCGGGCCACTCGGAGTAGATGGAGCTGCTGCCGCCCGCCCACGGCAGGCAGAAGAGGCGGAGCTTGGGCGGCGATGGCAGGGGCACGTAGGCGGGCGCGACCCACCCCGCCTTGCAAGCCATTGGGGCCATGGGTGCCCAGCGGGAGATCGCGCTGTGGATTAAACAACAAGTTGCAGCTGTAAGACGCTTAAGAAGTCGTGAGAAGCTTGAACCCGAGGCGTCGGCGCCCACACTCGTACGCGAGGAAAGACAGCCACTGATATGCAACCGAGCGACAAGGTCACCATCTCGCCCAACAGGCACGCGCGGTGAAAGACACACTTTCTTCACTTTGGGCGATCCCCACGCGAGATCTTATGTGACTGCCCATTCGTGTGTGCAAACTCACGGAGTTGACATTTTCCTTGACGTCGGTCCTTGACGTCTGCTCTTGACGCTTGTCCTGGGTTTTAATGGACGGCGCGACGTCGTGACGCCCGAACGAGGCGGGACACACCGGTGAGCACCGGGATCATCTAGGCCAGGTGGCCTCATCATGCAGGGCTGGCGAACGGTCTTTGCCTTAAACTCTAGTAGGCCTAACTAGTCGGGCGGGAAACAACCTCAACATGTCATCTGGGGAACGGCTGCCCCGTGTCATGCATCTCATTGGTGTGTATGTGTCTTTTCTTGGCGTCTGTTATCCAAGTCTGTCCTTGGAGAATGCTCCTTGTCAGTCCTGGACGTCTGCTCTTGACATCGGCGGCCGTGGCATGCAGAGCAGGCGGGCGGGCTTTGCCCCCAAATCTGAGAAGCCGTTCCGTCCTGTGTCTGATTAGTGTGTAAGTGTGCGTGTTGTGACTTGAATGTTGTGTCTGACATCTGTCGTTAGAGTCGGTCCTTGGTTGCTGCTCCTACTGTGTGATCTGAAGTGTGTCCAGGGCGTCATTTATATCTCTTTGAACTCAACAAGACACCCCAAACAGGCTTTAAACAAGGGTCGTGGGCTTCCCAACCTCTTTCGTAACTGTGTTGAACGGGTATTTGAACGTTTTCTGCCGTGCCCAACTCTGCGCGCGAAGATCAGTTTCCGCCTTCGCCACATCGATGGATCCAACGACATAACAGAACACGATAAACGAACTACCCTAACAACTTGAAAACAAAGATGCGTTGTCTCACCGTTATCAGAGAACCCAAGACGTACAACGCTTGAAAACCACCCAGGACATTTTAAGGACGAACCGTCGATTCGTTCTTCAGGTCGATGGGCGACCGTCGTGTCGCGATGGAGGAGGAGGAGGAGGAGGAGGAGGAGGAGGAGAGGAGGAAGAGGAGGAGGAGGATGGGGGGGAAGGAGGAAGCGGAGGAGGAAGCAGAGGAGGACGAGGAGGATGGGGAGGATGGGGAGGCGGAGGAGGAGGAGGAGGAGGAGGAGCGGAGAAGGAGGAGGAGGAGGAGGAGGAGGGGAGGGGAGGAGAAGGAGGAGGAGGAGGAGAGGAGGGGGGCGGAAGCGGAGGAGGAGGAGGAAGAGGAGGACAAGCCGGCGTGACCGCTAGAGCGGGGCGGGAGCGAGGCCTGGCGGCCGCGGAACGCAGGGTTGGCGGGCGGCTTGATCTCAAAATCCACTAGACCACCTCCTCCTCCTCCTCCTCCTCCTCTCCCCTCCTCCTCGTCCTCCTCCTCCTCCTCCTCCTCCTCCTCCTCCCCTCTCTCCTCCTCCTCCTCCTTCTCCTCCTCCTCCTCGTCCTCCTCCTCCTTCTCCCCTCCTCCTCCTCCTTCCTCCTCCTCGTCTCCTCCTCCTCCTCCTCCTCCTCCTCCTCCTCCACCTCGTCCTCCTCCTCCTCCTCCTTCTCCTCGTCCTCCTCCTCGTCCTCCTCCTCCTCGTCCTCCTCGTCCTCCTCCTCGGCCTCCTCCTCCTCATCCTCCCCGTCTTCTTCTGGCTCCCCGCCTCGTCACCCATCCCGTCACCCTCGAGGGCCGAGGCCTCCAGGGTCGGCAACGCCAGCCGCAAGGCCTTGGCAATCCACTAGGACCTCTGGGCGTAGGTGGTCAAACGCAATCTCTCTGTTTTCTCCAAAGCCCTTCTTCCACTCGGGAAGGGGCAACCTTCCTGTACCCTCGCTATTTTTTGCAGGGGGGCGGGAAGCGGTCAAAAAATGCAGCATGGCCAAACATGTCCCCAAGTTGGCCTTCGATGCTTCAAGATGGCCGCTCGAGATAGCGCAAGGTCGCTCAAGATGGCTTGTGTAGTATGTCTCCACGAGGCCCCACGAGGGCCACATGACAGTTCCTAGTGCTTCCTGAGCTCTCTCAGCCACCACCTCATCGCATTCTCGCTACCGATGGGCTTCTGAAGCCTCAAGACGGCTCGAAAGAGCCCCACGAGTGACTCAGGAAGCAGCCAAGATGACCTCAAGAGCGCTCAGGACCACCCCCGAAGTGCCTCAAGAGACGATGTTGACAGCCACAGAAGGGTGTGGATGAGACCCTCCCTCGTTGATCGATGACCTCAAGGATGGCCTTACGATTCCCACAAGTTTTAAGAGGCCTCAAGATGGCCCCACAAAGGCGACCCCGAAAAAAGCCAAGAGCACCCCAAGACATCCCACGACCCCCTCAAAAAATCCGAAGAGGGCTTCAGTGAATGGTCCTGAAGGGTGGGGTGGGGGGCGCAAGCGAGGAACCCCCGCTTTTGATCGACGGACTCCCGAATGGCCCCCACGAACCCTTGAAGGCTCCCGAGACGTCCCCAAGGGCACTGACAGCAAGACCTGCAGCAGCAGTACCATTACCACCACAAGCAACAGAAGCACCAGCAGCACCAGCAGCAGCACCTCCACCACTAGCATCAGCAACAACTCCAGCAGCAAAACCAGCAAGAGCACGAGCAGCAAGAGCAGCAGCACCGGCAGCAGCATCACCACCAGCAACAGTACCAGCAACAACAACAGCGGCACCAGCAACAGCAGCACCAGCATCACCAGCAACAGCATCACCAGCAACAGCATCACCAGCAACAGCACCACCACCAGCACCAGATGCAACACAAGCTGCAGCATCAGCACAACAATAAGCAACGTGGAAGAAGAGAAGCGGAAGACGAAGAAGATCAGGTTAACAAACCAAATATCAAGCATATGCTCTGTAGGACGGTTGGCTTTCAGCTCGGTGCCCTCCGCATGTCGTCTATCGAGGCTGGGCGCATTGAGCAGAAAACAAAAATGTATGGAAGCCGTGCAGCGATTTGAGCTGAATGCGTTAGTAAGCGAAAGACGTGCGAGCGCGCGCGTTCGCTCCACATCCCCGCCCAGAAACCCACAAGAGTCGCTCATGCATTCGACGCGCGTTCTTGCACTGGACCTGGACTGCAACAAACCGTTCGGGTCACATTGCATGTAAGAGCTACTTGTATGACTTACAACATGTAGTGTATACTACATGCCCACATGGTAATAGGCGCATATCCAGCCTTATCGGCAAGACAAGGTACATCATGCATGTGCGCGCATGTATGGCGTGCGATTGTGTGCGATGTACATTCGCCATTATGCATCGCACGCAACTGGCGTGAAAGATGCAATGAAAGCGCCACGTGTGAACCACGTGTGAACTGGCTGTGTGGGCGCATGTTCACAATTGCAAATCCGTGCGATGTGCGGGAGGTGGGGCGTGCGAGCGAGACGTCCTGCTCCGTGTGAAGAACACAACGAAAAGTTGTGGGCGCGACGCCGTTGGGACAACAAAGGAATGTTTGAAGTGTGTGGGGGGTATCGCCCACACACACACACCACAACTACCAGGGGCCGGGGCCAGGCCGGACAGGGGTGGTGTTGAGGCGCCAGATCGGGACAGAATTGCGCTTGGGGGCCGAGGTCAGGACTTCTGGGGCGGGGCTGTCGTGTGATTGACTGGGCCCCAGATCGGGGCATCATCGCGCCAGGAGGCTGGGCACATGATTTCTGGAGCGGGCTGTCGCTGATTAAGAAGACCCCAGATCGGGACAGAACTGCGCCAGGGGTTCGGGGAAAGGCCGCGCGCAACGCGGACGCGCTATGCGCCGTGCGCAACGCGAACGGACTACGCGCTGTTCTTGGCGAGCCACTACTCTGTTGCGCGCGCGCCTGCCCAGCGCACGCACGCGCGCCCGGCGCTTCCCTCGCAGCGGAAGCGCGCGCCATGGCATCGGCGCGCGCGCACCCCCAGCGCGCGCAGGTCCCGCCGCGCGCCATACGCGCGTGAAAGCATCAGCGCGCGGAATTCCAGCGCGGGCGCGGGCTTTCCAAGCGCGCGGAACGCGCGACGACAAATCGCCGGACCGAACCGCGTGACAACATGCGCCCAGTGGTCAGCATCCCCAATGAGCTTATAATGAGAACGGCGCTTTCGCACTTGTCGTAGCGCGTCTTCCAAAATCCCGCTGCCGTCGCCACTTCGGATTTTGTCGCGGCTCTGCGTCGCCGGCGGATTTTGTCGCCCGCCGCCTCTTCTTTGTCTTTGGCAGATTTTTGATGTCGTTTGAATGTGTTGTCGGCCTCTGTGTTTTTGTCGTCGGCATTTGTTTTGCCGCTGGTCATGTTTTTTTGTTTGTTTTGTCGCCCCCGCTTTTCTGCCTTCTGCTCTTTTTGGCGCCCTTGGCTGTCGGGTTCACATCTTCAACTCTCGGGCTCATCGACATGTCTGGGGCCGGCCGCGGCCGGTCACATAATGCGCGCCTTTCACGTCTCGCGCGCCCCCGTCACCCCGCTTGGAGACGGTGCCCGGGCGTTGCCTATGGAAGTTCGCTTCTGGGCCCTCGCCCGCCCCCTCGATGGGCCGCGCGCAAGAGCTGGGGTGTTCGACGCCGACTGCGTCTGAGACACGCGACGCGCGCCGTGGCTTCACCCATAGAAAAACAAATGAATTTAATCTAGAAATGTTTGTCGCTCGTCGTTCCTTGGCCCCGTGGAACTGGAGGGGGCGACATCCTGCGCACGCGCGCCCCCCGACCAAAGGCGCCCTGCGCCCGCGTAGAACCCGCCCACTGCCCCCCCCCCCCGGCGGCGCGCCCCCCCCCCCCCCCGCAATGCAAACTCAGCGCTGCGCGCCGCCCCCGCCCCCCGCCCCCATCCTAATTCGCGCGGTTTCGGCTGGTTCTCCTCCCCCGCCCACGCGCGCACGCGCGCGGCGCCCCGCGCAGCTCCTGCGCCCCCCCCGCCCCGCGGCGCCCCCCCCCCCCCCCCCCCCCGCAA